TTTTTCCCCATTTTCCCCCCCTTTTTTCCCATTTTTTTCCCATTTTCCCCCCCTTTTTCCCCGTTGTTTTCCCCTCCATTTTTCCCACTTTTCTCGTGTTTTTCCCCTCGTTTTTTACCATTTTCCCCCTTTTTTCCCCGTTCTCTCCCCCTTTTTTTCCTGTTGTTTTCCCCCCCCCATTTTTCCCGTTTTCCCCCCTTTTTTTCCCATTTTCCCCCTTTTACCCTGTTGTTTTCACCCCCGTTTTTCCCACTTTTCCCATGTTTTTCCCCTCGTTTTTTACCATTTTCCCCCTTCTTTTTCTGTTTTCCCCCCCTTTTTTCCCCGTTGTTTTCCCCCAATGTTTTTCTCCGTTTTTCCCACTTTTCCCGTGTTTTTCCCCTCGTTTTTTCCCATTTTTCCCCCTTTTTTTCCGTTTTCCCCCCCCATTTTTCCCCTCTCTTTTTCCCACTTTTCCCGTGTTTTTCCCCTCGTTTTTTACCATTTTTCCCCCTTTTTTTTCCCCGTTGTTTTCCCCCCCGTTTTTCCCCGTTGTTTTTCCCACTTTTCCCGTGTTTCTGCCCCGTTCCCAGGAATCCGCCTGGCGTCTCCAGGAGCCCTGGGAGCGCCGTCTCCCGTTCCTGCCGCGGAAATTCCGGAGTCTCCGCGCCGTTCCCGCCTATTCCCGCTTCATCCACGAGCGCTTCGAGCGCTGCCTCGACCTCTACCTCTGCCCCCGGCAGCGCCGGATGCGCGTACGGATACACCGGGAAAACAATCCCCAGAAATTCACCAGAAAGTCACCAAAAAGTCACAAAAATTCACCAAAAAGTCACCAAAAATTACCCCAAAATTCACAAAAATTTCCTCGAAAATTCACCAAAAATTCACCAAAAATTCCCCCAAAATTCACCAAAAAGTCACCAAAAATTCACCAAAAATTCACAAAAATTTCTTCGAAAATTCACCAAAAATTCACCAAAAATTCCCCCAAAATTCACAAAAAAGTCACCAAAAATTCACAAAAAATTCACAAAAAAATTCACCAAAAAATTCACAAAAAATTCACAAAAAGTACCCAAAAAAATTCACCAAAAATTCACAAAAACTTCCTCAAAAATTCACAAAAAATTCACCAAAAAGTCACCAAAAATTCACCAAAAATTCACAAAAATTTCCTCAAGAATTCACCAAAAATTCACCAAAAAGTCACCAAAAATTCACCAAAAATTCCAAAAAAATTCCCAAAAAATTCCCCAAAAACTCAGGAAAAATTCCTCAAAATTTCCCCCAAAAATTCACGAAAAACTCCAGAAAAAATTCACCAAAAATTCAGCAAAAACTCACTGAAAATTCACAAAAAACTCAGGAGAAATTCCTCAAAAATTCCCCAAAAGTTCGCAAAGAGTACAAAAATAATTCACCAAAAATTCATGAAAAACTCACTAAAAACTCTCAAGAAATTCCCCCAAAATTCCCCGAAAACTCAGGAAAAACTGCACAAAAAATTTCCCAAAAATTCCTCAAAAACTCACGAAAAATACCCCCAAAATACCCGAAATATTCCCCAAAAATTCACAAAAAATTCCTCAAAAATTCACAAAAAATTCCCCAAAAAATTTCACAAAAATTTCCCCAAAAACTGACAAAGAATTCCCCCAAAATACCCAAAATGTTCCCCAAAAATTCACGAAAAAGTCACCAAAAAATTCCAAAAAAAATTCATCAAAAATTCCCCAAAAATTCACAAAACGTACCAAAAAAATTCCCCAAGAATTCACCAACAATTCACGAAAAATTCCCCAAAAATTCCTCAAAAATTCAGCAAAAGCTCATGAAAAATTCCCCAGAAATTCCCCAAAAATTCACAAAGATTTTTAAAAAAATATTCATAAAAAAACAAAAAAAAATTCACCAAAAATTCACAAAAAACACCAAAAAATTTCCCAAAAAATTCACAAAAAATTCCCAAAAATTCACCAAAAAGTCACGAAAAATTCACAAAAAAGTCACAGAAAATTCCCAAAAAATTAATGAAAAATTCCCAGAAAATTCCCCAAAAAGATTCACAAAAAATTCCAAAAAATATCTGAAAAATTCACAAAAAATGCCCCAGAAATTCCCCCCAGAAATTCCTGAAAAACTCCCCAAAAATTCACAAAAAATTCCCCAAAGATTCCCAAAAAATTTCGGAAAAATTCCTGTAAAATTCCAAAAAAAATCCCGAAAAATTAAAAAAAAATACCCAAAAAAATTGTCAAAAAATTCCCGAAAAATCGCCAAAAATTCCCGAATAAATTCCCAAAAAATACCAAAAATATTCCCGAAAAAATGCCCCAAAAATTCCCAAAAAATACAGAATCCCCCCCAAAATTCCAAAAAAATTCTGTAAAAATTCCCAAGAAATTCCCAGTTTTTCCCCTGGGGAAGCTCCGGAGGTTTTGGGGGATGGCTTTGGATTCGGGCGTTTTCCATCCCGCAGGTCAACGTGGATCCCGAGGATCTCATTCCCAAAATTCCCAGGCCGAGGGATCTGCAGCCATTCCCGACCACCCAGGCCATGGTGAGTGAGGGGGGAAATTTTGGGAATTTCCTCCGGGATTTCTGGGATTTCTTGGGATTTGGAGAGTTGGGAAGAGAAGGAGATGAGAAAAGTTGGAATTCCTGGGAAATTCCCTGGGATTTCCTGCTGGATTCCCTGGAATGGATCCGGAAAACTTTCCCAGAGCTGGGGGGGAAACATCCCAGAAAAAACTGGGAATTTGGGGAATTTTTTCTGGGATTTTTGGGATTTTGGGGATTTGGAGCCTTGGGGAGTGAGGATTGGTGGGAGGAGCTGGGAAAAGCTGG